CCGAGGGCGGGCGCGGGGAGGGGGCCATGTGCGCCGGACCTGTGGGAGCCCCCGTCTTGGCCGGGTGGCGGGCCAGCGGGGGAGAGACTCCACTTCTGGGCTGAGCGCGGGGCGCGGACCCCGCGGGACAGCCCGGCCTCTCCCGCCCGCGGCTGCCTCGCCCTGAGCGAACGTCTCCTGCAGCCCGCGCCTCCCCCATCCCGTCCAGGGGCGCGCTCCGAGAGGAGCCGGGATGGTGGGAGCCGAACGCGGCGCTGCGCGGAGTTGCTGAGATTGGACCGGCCGAATAACCAGCCGGTGCAGCCTCAAATCAGACCTGCAGAGGATTTCAGACCTGCAGAGGATTTGAGTCCCTTTGGGTGTGAATTGAGATGAGATGAGGTAGTGAGTGGGGTCTTTCAACTTGCAGGGGAGTAAGATCAGCCAGAGACCTTGATATTACTATGTACTTGGAAGAGCAGAAGAGGTCGCTAAGACCTGATGGGCGGGGGGCACTTTCTGGGTGGCCTGTGAGTGGGCTTTGGGGGTGCGACTGAAAACAGAGGAGTGAGTTGAAAAAGAGTGGTTTAGAGGTGGAGAGGAACCACGGTCTGTCAAAACCTGCCTCCTTGCACCGGGTCCAGCAGTCCAGCCATTCCTCCGTGGACTGCCGTGGACACTCATCCGCATGGGGACAAAACCCTCCGGGGAATGCAGGCTGGTGTGGCAGGGGGTCCTGGCTCCTCCCATGCACTGAGCTATTCCAGGAGGAGGACAGAGTAGTTCTTCCCATTTTCTATATGAAGACACCAGAGGCCCAGCTGGGTGCAGGAGACTGGTGGGTGAGTGGTACCCCAGCTTGGGGGGGCTAGTAGTGCCTAGGCTGTTGAGGCCCTCAAGAGGCCTGGGAAGCAAGGGCCTGGTACTTGGGGTCTCTGTGGACTGGTGTTTATTCACCTTTTTTTTCAATGCTGCCCTCCTAAGGAGACTTTTAGATACTTTTCCCCCTCAATGCCTCTCCCACTGAAATTTTAATACCATAAATATACTGTCTGTGTACTATGGCACTTTGGTGTGTTACAAACCATTGTAATATCCAAGATTTTTTGCCCCTAATGTCCAATTTTTGCCCCTTGTTGCGAGTACATCCTATAGACCAGAGCCTCTAAACCTGCACACTCCTGTCATTTGGGGTCGTATAATTCTTCGTTGTGCATTGTAGCATATTTAGCAGCATCCCTGGCGTTGAGCCACTAGATGCCTGTGGCACCCACTCCTGGACAGAGACAGACATTGCCCAGGGCTTCCTGAGGGACGCCCCTCCCCTCACCATTGTTGGCAACCACTGCTGTAGACAAATCCAGAAGAACTGAACAGCCCCTGGCCAGTCCCACCTCCT